AGGTTATCACAGGTTTGGTCTCCATTCTCCTCGATGCCATACTACAGAGCTCCGGCGGCGGCGGCGGCGGCAGGCGGCGGGCGGGCGCGCGGGAGCGTGGCCGCTGCCCGAGGGCGGCTGCTCGCCGGGCGGCGGCGGCGGCAGGCGGCGCGGGGGGCTGGGCGCGGCGGTGGTGAGGTCGGTGCGGTTGTAGTCCATGCACAGCGTGTCAGGGTTGCCCTGTTCGGGCAGCCGGTCGCAGCGCATGCGGTCGGGCCAGGCGAAGCCGTACTGACGCATGAGCGGCGCGCAGCCGGCCTTGGCGCGCTCGCACACCGAGCGGCAGGGCGGCAGCGGCTTCTTGTAGTCCTCCAGGCAGATGGGCGTGTACATGCTGCACAGGAAGAACTTGAGGTCGGGCGAGCACTGGATCTCCACCAGCGGCCAGAACTGGTGCACCTCCAGGCCCGCCTCGTCCTGCGTGTCGTGGTTGAACTGGTTGGGCATGTAGGTGTAGTTGTAGCCGATGCCCTTACACAGCGGCACGGTGATCTCTTGGCACGCCAGCTCCTTGGCCGAGGCGGCCGCCGCGCCGCTAGAGCGCTGCAGCAGCGCTAAGGCGGCCAGCAGCGAGGTCACTTCCAACAGGTAACCCCACTCCATGCTGTGCGCCTCGGCCCGGTGCCCTCGCCCTCCAGGCGGCGCGCAGAAGGGTGCCGGGGGGGAGGGGGCACGAAAGAGCCGGAGACGGGGAAAGCCGGTGATCTGGGATCTCCCTTATGCCTCGCCCGGGAGAAGAGTCTGCTGATAATCTAGCCCCTCGTAGGGGCGCGTCCGCAGCCTCGGCAGGGCCCTTCCGCACTCCTTTCCGCCGCTCCTGGGATTTGAAGGCGGCCGCAGGCGCGCGCCACAGTCCGAAGGTCCTCTCTGCTCGCCCCAGGTCGCGCTCAGCCCTCGCGGCGCAGAGCGTCCGGGCTTCGGCTCATCGTCCCGCGCTCGCTCGCCTCCTCTCCGCGCGCCCGACCACTTCTCCCCGCCGCGCTGGGCGGCGGTGACTCCGCCGGGCACAGAGGGCGGCGGCGCTGCAAGTTTCCTCTCGGGCCGCGGTGCGCAGTCAAGATGGCTGGGCCCGGCCGTTCGCCGCGCCGGGTCAGCCCTGGAGGCCACCGCTTAGCCCCCGGGGGCTCATGCCCGCCCCCAAGGCCGCGCCGCCGCCGCCGCCGGAGTTGGGGACCCGCCTCGGCCCAGGCCGCCGCCCTCTTTCTCCGGCGTCCGTCCTTCGTCCGTCAGCCCCCTGGACAGACCGACCCCCGCCACCAGGAAAAGTCAGCGCCGCGCTCCGTCCGCAGTCGGGCGAGGCGCACGCAGTCTCCTTCCTGCTGGACACCCAGGAGCAAATCCAGACCGGAAGGCGGAGCGGACACCTGAGTGGCGCGGCCCGCGCCCAGCCGCCGCCGCCGCCGCCGCCGCCTCCTCCTCCTCGGCGGGAGCAGCGCCCTTCGCCCAACTTCCCGGCTCCAGCCCCGCTCGCGCCGCGCGGCCGGCTCATGAATATTTATACAGCGCGGACTCGGTCTCCGCCCCCAGCCCCGCGAGCCAATCGCCGGGCGGCGGGGCGGAGTCCACGCGCTCCCAGGGCTCAGCCTTCCTTAAGGCAGTCCCCGAGTGTCCGCGCCGCTGTGCGCGTTCTCTGCGGATGGAGAGTTTTGGTAACCTTGGGATTGGCCGCAGAGACACAGTGTTGGCCACGGCTGTCCCCATGGCGCTGAGTGCGTCTGAGGTCTTGGTGCCCTTTCCCCCAGTCTGCCCTTGGGGACAGGGACGGGGTTTGGTGTAGCGCACGCCTCTTCGCCGCGTTTCAAACCAGCCAGGCCCTTGCTGCCACCCTCCGCGAATGCGGGTGATCTGCGGGCGGCGGGGGTCTCGCACTACTCCGGGCGGCGCGGAGGTCCCGCAGCAGGCGAGTGCAGGGGAGGCCTGCCGGGGCGGTCTACCGGGGCGGTCTGCCGGGGCTTGGCGCTGCAGAAGACCCGGGAAAGGGTGTCCTCCTTGGGGTTCTCAGAACGATGGTTTCTGAGGCTTGGAGATGTGGGGGTGGGGGGCGGGGGAGGAGTGGAGTCATTCTAAACTGGAGCTGGACCCAGGACGGCCCAGGTGAGATGCCCCGGAGCCCAGCCTTGGGCGCGCGAGGGGCGCGGGGGACAAATGCCCGCCTGAGACTTTTCTCCCGCCTCCGCTGCGTGACCCGGGGGAGCCTCAGTTTCCCCACCTCGAGAGTTGGGTGATCATAGCACAGATCTCTAAGGGGGCTTTGATAATTAGGTGAGATAAAATATAGAAAGCCCCGGGACGCCGTGCTTTCTTAGGAAAAAACATTCCATTTCTTTTTAAAAATCAAAACAAACCCCGAAACTTATAAATAGGACAGACTGGAAACTCTGGGGCTGGATTCCCTGCCTTCGCTTGGTTCTTTCAGGACGTCTATTCATCCATCCCAAGTTCACAGGCTTTTGCCAGAGCCTCCTTTTCTCTGGTGGGAGGCGGCGCTGCGCTCTGGCGCGGACTCCGGGACACGTATCTGCGCTCTGCACGAGGCCGGAGCCGGACCCGGGCTGCTTTTAGCAGCCGCTTGGGCCACCGCCAGCGAACACGGTCCCCGCCGGCTCCGCAGCCACCTTAAGACCGGCCGGGAGGGGGGCTGCGGGCGGCCCGGGCCGGCGGCCTGGCAGGTTCATTTACGCTTGTTAGGGCGTCCCAGGGGGCTGTCTTTCTCCTGGAATGGAGTGTTTATTTTTTAATTGATGTGCTGTTTCATTTAGCGCTTGTATGGAACTCATGCTGGGGCAGTAATTACTGTAATCTCGGGAACAAGCATTTCAGTTAGCCAGGAGGGTGGTAGAATATGTTTCTCTCTCTCTCTCTCTCTCTCCCCCCCCACCTCCCTCCCTCCCTCCTCCCTTCTCCCCATCTCCGTGTCCCTCTTCCTCCCTCCCTCTCTTCTGTCTTCTTCCCTCTCTCTCTCCCCACCTCTTCTCTCTCTCTCTCTCCCCCTCCCTCTCCCACCTCTTTCTCTCCCTCCTCCCTTCTCCCCTTCCCCTTCTCTCTCTCCTTTCCTCCCTCCCTTTTCTCTCCGTTCTCTCACTCTGTTCTTGTTTCAAGATTTTTGCTATTTGCCAGGTTTCATACCGGAACAAGTACAGTTGGAGAACAAAAGTTGCAGAGGGCGTGGGGACAGAGCAAAACAATTAAAGGCACATTTGAGGCCAGTTCCGGTTTTCGGGGCGCTGCTGGTGGTGGTGGTAGTTGGTGGTTGTCCGTTCAGAAACAACTCTTGTCATAAAAGAAAAATTACCAGCAGTATTTGTAGATTGCTTGAGCTGATGGCATCTATGTCTTTCTCGTCTTGCTTTCTGTAGCTCAGTTAGCAACCTCATTATGAAACATGTTACAAGTAGACTGTCAGACCGCACCCTGCCCCAGCGCCCCGTTTTTGGCAAGTTCTGTGTTCTAGACATATCCACCAATCTTTAGTTATACCCCACTATCTTTTTATTTTTTTTAGTTTTGGTCTAGTTGAACCTCTTTATACTGAAAAGCAACACTTCCTTACCACTTTTGTTTTGGAAAAACTAAAGTCCGTAGGAATTAGGAATTCAAAGGCTTCAGAAATATTTCTGATTCAGCAGAAAACGGGCTATTCAAAAATGCAGACTAGACCTTTACTTGATTAAAATTTTTTTTTCCTTTCCCACCTCCTGCAAATCTGAATTCCCACTTGTATGGTGAATGTAGAAAGTCGCTATCTCTGCCGTTGGCACCTTGTTTCCAGAGGGCGAGTCTCCAGAGCGCATCAGCTGCAGGTAAATGCGGGAGGTTCCAGTGCTGATCTGAGCGCAGCAGTGCAGGCAGAGCCCCAAAGACCAGCAAGGGTGCTGCACTGCCCGCACCACAGATGGGAGGGGCTGGTTTCCAAGAGCAACACAGATGGTGAAAAGTTTCTGTTGCTTTTCTTCCACGGGGAAATGTCAAATAGTGAAGTTTAGAATTACACTACATAAATTTGCTAGAATTGGGTAAAAACAAACTGACATTTGAAAATTGAAGCTGAAAATGGTTGATTTTGGCTCTTAATTGGCTTTAAATTTTTTTCTTTTTTCTTTTGAGACAAGATGAAAGGTTTGATGATGTGGAATGTGGCAATTTTGGGTAAGTATATTAAGTTTGCATGAGAAAATAAGCAGACTAAAGTTCAGAATTTCAAAAATCATATCAGCTATTTGGGAGATCTTAGTGATTTGTGAGGTTAAAACCAGTTACATAAAAGTCATGACAAATGTACTTTTAATTGAGAGAATGTAAGAATAGCATTTTACATCTACTATTAAATTAAATGGCTACTTGATAGTCTTTCAGAGGAGAAGGGAGAGGCTTCTGTAGCCAATTAGTGTGTAAAAGGTAATGATGGGTTAACTCGAAGTAACCAGAACCTACATCAACTTCGATGGCTAAATAATGATATTTTCATTGTATGTAAAGCAGCTGTTTTTTAGGGGAGGGGAAATAGCTTTCGTAGTGACATAAATAATGTAGGGAAGTTTCTAAAGGGATTTCTGAACAGATGGCTCATTACTGAATGGCCTGTAAGCAAATAATAGAAACAGTTGAAATCAGGAATCTACCTCAGAGGAGGGAAGGTTTTACAAAACGTTGGCTACCGAGTTAGCTAGGGGACTATCAATATTGTCTGTAACAAATTTAAGAAACTTTGGGGAAATCATGTTCCAGTGGATTACCATCTATAAAAATCCCATATAAGAATCTGGATGGAAGAGAGGGCCTAGCATATACTAACAGAATGATACGTTCCAAAGATTAAATGAAGAACTCTTTAGTAAGTAATACAGTTTCTCAGGTGTTATAAAATGCCAAATATTGGCCAGATACAGTGACTCATTCCTGTAATCCCAGCCCTTTAGGAGGCTGAGGCAGGCAGATCGCTTGAGTTTAGGAGTTTGAGACCAGCCTGGGCAACATAGCGAAACCCCGTCTCTACAAAAAATACGAACATTAGCCGGGTGCGGTGGCATGTGCCTGTAGTCCCAGCTACACCTGAGGCTGAGGTGGGAGGATCACTTGAGTTTTGGAGGTTGGGACTGCAGTGAGCCGTGATTGCATCACTGCACTCCAGCCTGGGCAACAGAGTAAGACCCTGTCTCTAAATAAATAAATAAATGCCAAATATTATTTTCTCACAAGAAAACAGTTAAGTACTATATTACTATAGAATATAAAATTCTTATCACTGGCTGGGCTTAGTGGCTCACGCTTGTCTTAGTGCTTTGGGAGGCCAAGTTGGAAGGATCGCTTGAGTCCAGGAGTTGAGAGCGGTCTGAGCAACATAGTAAGACCGGAGTCTACAAACAAACAAACAAACAAACAAGGCCGGACATGGTGGTTCACGCCTGTAATCCCAGCACTTTGGGAAGCCAAGGTGGGTGGATCACTAGAGGTCAGGAGTTCGAGACCAGCCTGGCTAACATGGTGAATCCTTGTTTCTACTAAAAATACAAAAATTAGCTGGACGTGGTGGTGGGTGCCTGTAATCCCAGCTACTTGGGAGACTGAGGCAAGAGAATTGCTTGAACCAGGGAGGCGGAGGTTGCAGTGAGCTGAGATTTCGCCACTGCACTCCAACCTGGGCAACACAGCAAGACTCTGTCTCAAAAAAAAAAAAAAAAAATTAGTCGGACCTGTAGCACGCACCTGTAGTCCCAGCTACTTGAGGGACTGAGGTGGGAGGATTGCTCGAATCCATGAGTTTGAGGCTGTAGTGAGCCATGATCATGCCTGTACTCCAGGCTGGGTGACAGAATGAGACCCTGTCTCAAAAAAAAAAGAAACAAAAAAGACAAAACCCACAATAACAACAAAAAAACCTCTAATGGTAATATTGGGGCATCTTGGTGTTTTAAAAATCTGTCTTTCAAAGGGTTATATCTTGAGTCTTCCAGTCCATAAATGGAAAGGGAGGTAGAGGTGAACTGACCTCATCAATCTCTGCTAGATTTAAACAGGTGAAATTATTTTTATATTCTTCCTTTTTAACATGAAACTCAACTGAAGTGCTGCTGCTTCTGTTCTCTTCACTGCCAGGAAAGAGATCCTGTTGGAAGGAAGTACTCTTTGCTGTGTCTGCTGTCACCAGGCCAAGGTGCACATGGGTGGAGATAACAGGCCCATCTGTGCCACTGGCTGGCAGGCCCATGCTCACGTTACATGCAGCTGCTGCTTTGGAATACGGTGACCTCACTGCCATTATTTAAGTTGATAATTATTCTAAAACTTGTTTTAAAAATCAATAATTGATTTTTTCTCATTCACATGGGATATTTGCCAGATATTGAAGCTCTTATTATGGCATGCATTGTGCATTAGTTTGGGAGATTTCAGGTCCAGTAAAGACCTCCTGAGTAAAAGTGGCTTAGCCAAGAAGGATATCTCAACATA